CACACTGAACAGCACACGCACACACTGAACAGCACACGCACCTGCCTCACTGTGTCTGTCTCTCCCAGGTGCTCAGTGAGCTCATCAACAGCTTGTACGCGCCGGGACAGAAGCCCATCAAGAAGATCCAGCACTCAGACATGGCCTTCAAGCAGATGGAGCAGGTGTCGCAGTTCCTGCAGGCATCCGAGCGCTACGGCGTCGTCAAGACAGACATATTCCAGACCGTGGACCTGTGGGAAGGTCAGTCCGGGCACCGCGTGCGGCGCTGTGGGCAAGCCATAGCCACTCTGTCAGCGCCACCCGCTGACCCCTCTGTCTGTCTGTCCTCCGGCAGGAAAAGACCTGGCCGCCGTCCAGAGGACCCTGATGGCTCTGGGCAATCTGGCTGTCACCAAGAACGACGGCAACTACCGCGGCGACCCCAACTGGTTCCACAAGTGAGTGTGACCTCTCACCTTTGACCTCTTAAAGACGACCCTGCACCGGGAGGCCATTTTTCCTTCACACCAGCCCTTCCCTGCTACACACTATCATTCCCAGCTGCCCTTAGTTGTCCAGTGACCCTGGCCAGCGCTGCGCTCAGACATGGCCACAGACGAGTCACCCCTCCCCCCCCTGCTCGGCTCGAACCCGAGTTCGAGTGGCAGGTGGCTCTGGCCTTGTGCACCAGTGCGTTGTCTGGTAGCTCCAGGCTACGGCCTCACACAGCTGGGCCAGAACCACACAGCGCCCACTTGAATCCCAGCAGAGCCTGGCCCCACTCCGGCTGCCTCAGCTGGAGAGACACCAGGGGCAAAACCACTTCCCTTCCCCAGTGCCCAGGCCAGGCACAGAGCTGCAGGAGCGCCTGACTGAACTCTGCGGCAGTGATGCTGCAGCCAGCAGCCATGTCACCCTGCAGCTCCCAGCTGGCAGCCCCCCCTGGAGCTCAGCAGGCGTGAGTCTGGCCAGTACCTGGATGGGAGACTCCTGGGAAAGCTAAGGCTGCTGCTGGAAAAGGTGTTAGTGGGACCAATAGGGGGCGCTCACCCTGTGGTCTGTGTGAGTCCTAATGCCCCAGTATAGTGACGGGGACACTATACTGTAATAAGACTCCGTCCTTCTGATGAGACGTAAAACCGAGGTCCTGACTCTCTGTGGTCATTAAAAATCCCAGGGTGTTTCTCGAAATGAGTAGGGGTGGCCAAATTTCCCCCTGGCCTTTCCCAGTCATGGCCTCCTAAGAGACCACCCTTCCGCGACGCCATGTCTGCGTGACTCCAGATGTGGACACAGAAATGACACCGGGCGTGAATGATATGCACGTTTGCAGCTTGCTGGAAGGTGTGGGAGATGCACGACAGCCACAGTCTAAATAGCTGCAGAAAGTTGTGACTCCCCCTCGTATCATAAACAGTAGCAGCAGTACTGGCAGCAGGATAGTAGTACGACTTATAGCAATATTATTCGCAGTAGTAGTTTCAGTAATATTACTGCAGGTTTGGAAAACCTAGCTTTAAAAAATCAGTTGCATAGAAAAGGCCTTTTAAGAATAACCAGATTTCTTAACATTATAATATAGACCACAGTGAACAATCACTTCATGAAACTTCCCCAGACACTGTATTTGTAGAAGCCGCAGTAACACCCATCTAGCACTCCTCAATAACGGTCTGTCTGCACGCAGGAAAGCCCAGGAGAATCGACGGGACTTCAGCGATGACCAGCTGAAGGAAGGACAGAGTGTAATCGGACTGCAGATGGGCACCAACAAGGGGGCGTCCCAAGCTGGCATGACGGGGTATGGCCGGCCTCGGCAGATCATCAACTGAGCCCATCCGTGCCCCCTGCAGGGCAGCACAGAGACAAGCACCCCTATTTACCATTGGCCAACATGCCTGCCCTGCTGCTCCCACCCCTCTCCTGGCCACAGAGCCAATCACTGAGGCCAGGTCTCTTCCCCCACACTCTGTACAGTCTTACAGGGTCTCCTCCCCAGGCCACACAGCCGATCACTGA